ATTGGGGTCTCGAGAACAAGACTAGAAGATATTTTAATACTATTTAAAGGAAAAATATTCATTCATCCCCCAGAAGGTTTTGAGCATTAAACACTTAATTTCCTGCATTCTGGAGACATTTTCTGCACCAATTTATGGTGGAAAGTCTTTATTTATATAAAGGGGAACACAACCCTTCTATAACATTTCTGGGAGCCCCTCAGTCGTAGTATAGGCATTAATTATCCTAGCCCCTGTTTTTGTCCCACAATAAATGGGTATGCATTAATAACCTATGAGAACAAGAGTCACCTGTTATCCACTGTTTCTATCCATGGACTTTGTATGGCCCAGCCTCGGACCATCTCCTCTCCTTGCGGCCTCCTGCCCATATGTCTCTGATTACTGTGAATCAATGACAGTCAGTTACTTGTGAAATGCATCATTTAGGGTGTACTTTGTGCACGTTTACTCACACATGTCTGCATCCAATGAAGCTGCTGCGTTTTGGCTTGTGGATCTCTCCCCAACTGTGGAATATGTGTGTGTGCTGCTTTAGTGGATGTTGTGATGGACCAGCCAGAGAAAGATCCAAAAATGTCATCAGTTTGGCAGGGATCCTCTCCCCTGGCTGGACATAATGTGTCAAGTGGTCAATGTTGATCTTAAATCCCCCCCCAAGGTCAGCACTTTTCCCCTGGAGTTCAGTGATTTGTAACGGCCCTAGCATGTCTGTCTCCAACTTGCCCCCTTTATCGCTGCCCCTGACCGTCATTTTTGACCCCCACTTTGAAGTTGTCCTCATGGCCCCTCTCCTGCTTTCTTTTGCGGACCTTGTCCTGGCTTTTCTTAATATTGGCCATGACTTCTGCGTGTACAGACTCAATCTTCTGCAGACTCATCTCCTTGCACAGTAGGCTGCTGACTTTATCCTCTGTGACCTGCCACAAATCACAGTTAAATGTAGGACATAACTAGTGAACATACATGCATACTCTTACTTCGTACTCTTTTGGCACCTCTGAGATACCTCGCTTCCCTCCCAAACATCAGAAAGTACGGGCTGTACTCGGTTGCCAGCTGTTTCTCACACAGTCCATAGTCGACCTTCAGAATGATTAGAGAAACATGAAATAGTCAGCACAGCTGCAGGCCTTATTACACACTGGGGACACATACAGCATCATTACTGTACCTGGTTGCAAAACTCTGAGCCCTGGTCTGTTGGCAGTCTTTTAGGTACACCAAATTTGTAAAAGAAATTATGTAATCAATTTGTCACCTCGTCTAGTCTGACAGTTTGGGAAATCTGCTTGTTCTTGGTGGATCTCAGCTTATAATGAAGTTTAAAAAGGGGAAACATACAGTGGATTTTAGCCCCCATGCCCAACCCCAAAAAGTCCACCTCAGGGGTTGGGGTCATCGCTCCCCTAACCTCAAGAATTGTTTTAAACGTTCAGCTGCCAAACTCACAATTTTAGCATGTATAGATGAAAAGCCAAGTCAGAAATCATGGTCAATGATGAATAACTGTGATCCACATACTTGTCAACCTCAACATCTTAGCCTAAATTGGGAGACTAAAAACTATGTCCCTCTATGAACTATTTTCTTGCAGTGTGGGGTAGATTTCTTGAAATACAAGAGCACTGGTTAAGTTTCAATGGTGGAGATGACTCAAATGAAGAGGAGGGTCTGGGGGTCCTCCCCCAGAAAATTGTAAGCATTGAGGACTTCATTTCCTGCATTCTGGTGAAAATGTTTGCCTCAATTTATTGTGGAAAAGTCTTCATTTATGTAAAGGGGAACACAAAATTCAGGCAGCAGGTGACAATTCAAAATAAATAAATTGTATAGAATGTAATGAGGCTTTCAGACATTCTCTAACTATTGCTTTTAAATAGCCAACATTTCTCCTGTAGATCAACTTTTCTAATTTAATAAAATCCCTCCTGAGTCAGCACACATGCAGCATGACTCAGTCTTCCATCCTCTTTTGTATCTTTTGCACGGGGAAGTTAATGAATTCCTGGACTTTAATAAATCCTGTGTTTTAGCAGGTTTTCTGCTCATGTTTAAAACTTTCTGCACATTCAGAATCTCTCGCATATCTGTGTTCTCTGACATGTAGTGTGTGTTCCAGAGAGCAGGGAACTGAACAGATAACCTGGAATGAGCTTCTTAAAGGGCCAGTTTGCTGGTTTATCTGTAATGAGGTGTGTTAATGCAGACAGTGTGGATGTTAAAGTAAGTAAATACTAACTTACCAGTCCAGAAGAGGGGGAAGAAAACAAAGACAAAAAATGAGACGAAAAGTCTAGTTTTGTTAAGGCCCAAAGAGAAACTTATTTATTTTCAACAAGCCCCAAAAAGTTCACACAGAGCTCTAGGGTCAGCAACTTAAATAAAGAAATAGACAGGGAGGACCCCACCCTTTTCTCAAACAATCATTGGCTATCAGAACTTGATCATCACATTGATTGGTTTTTACATTACTTTTCCTTTTATGGGTAGATGGTCTTCTGTCCAGTAGTTGCAACACCCCTTTGCCTCAGTTCTTAAATGTTTCTCTAAATATGGTAATAAAACATATCATGCAGGTCTCTATAACTCATTTTAGTAAAATCTTTTAAATGTTCAAACGCATAAAGGCCAAATATAGTAGGCCACACTTCTTAAATAAATAAATGAACATCTCTTACATAATCTTAAGTGCATGCACAAATCAGTTTTAAATTCATCACTCCAAATGCAGAATACATTAAATCAGTTCATGTCGACACTCATTCTACCCTTCTCACCTCTCTGATGACTTTAAAAAGGAGAGAAGAAAGCCTCCCCTGCTCCTGTAGTCACAAAATGAAGGTTCTTGTCTGTTGACACATTAACAAATAGTGCCTTCTTTGCTGATCAAAACAATTATTCAGACATCAGCAGGGGATACATGTAGAGGATGTTATCTCAAAACACAAGTTTTAAAATGTATTAATGAATATTAGAAACTCATAGTATTGATTTATAAGATGAAAACTCTTGACCCGCTTCTTATTTTCACACCTCCTTTCTCGCCTCCCTTCATGTGAGCGAGATGAACACATCTGTCATCAGGGAGACATTTTTTATTTCTCTAAAGGGTCGAGTTGCCAGCAAGAGCAGACTTTCACTTCCTCTTTACTGGACATGAGTGTCTAATCTGAAATATGATCATGTACAACCATAGGTCTCCGAAGGCCGAGCAAAGGTCAGCGCTCAAGAGACTGTAGAGACATTAAAATATAAAACAGTATATCAAACAAAACATCTTTCTTACTTTCACTTTGTACTTTTGGAAACTGAGCTAAGCAGGCACCAAGCATCAGTCTTAAAAGGCAAGCCATCAAAATTAAAGCACAGGCGAATCATTTTACTATAAGGCAGTCAAACAGTATCTGTGAAGGCCCCCCAAGAACCAGAACCAGTTGCTTCCAGTGTCCTTTTCTTCACATTTCTCATCCTCACAACAAAGAACAAAAACAATGAACAAATACAGTTTTGGGTAAACAGCAGAAATTACACATGTTTTTTTCTTATTTACTTACTTATACAAGTACTTATACTTACACAAAATAACAAAAATACAAAACAAACACAGCTTTGGGTAAACATACTAGTAAACAACTAAATTAAAATGTGTATGAGAAAAGTAAAAAGTGCTAAAGACGTGTTGAGATGCTCTCCCTGTGTTAAACATCCAAACAACAGTCCAAATAAAGATTTAGGAAGAAGACAGCGAGGCGGCTAGAATGAGCTCAGTTCATCTAAAATAATATCTGCTTTGCTTCTGGGATTAAAGGAGAATAATGACAGACATCAACTTCCAGCTCCAAACTAATAAAACACATTTTATTTCCATGTGTTGAAGCCATCACAGTGAACCAGAGCAAGTTGACCAAAACATTTCCCAGCAGCCACTTCTCCCACAGCAGAGTCCAAACAGTGCTTCCTGGTCTCTACAGTTAGGTGTCTTATTGGAAATCATATCAATTCAATTTCAATTCAGTTAAATTTTATTTCTATACTGTAGCTCACATTAACAGTACTACTACTAATAATAATAAAAATAACTTTCACAAGACTATTCATATAGGTAAGGTGACCCAATAATTCCCATCATGACTAGCTTTGGCGTGCATGGAGGATTCATTGTTAACATGTACAAACTGAGATCAATCTGATAAATAGGACATAGATTAGAAGGGCTATCGGAACACATGGCTCAATAGAGCTATGACTCTCTATCAGTAGATGACAGGATCTGTCTTGTCTCTATCCTTTCTATTGGCCTCCATTTCTCCTCCTGTTTCCTCCCCTTTCTCTCTCTCCCTCTTTCTCTGCCTACATGAAAGCTGACTGTGGAAATGTTGTCATCATTCATACTGATGGACTGCTGATATCATTGCTGTCCATTCTGCAGCAACACACAGAGGCCAAAAGCTTGTCTATGGTCCCTTTCCTCATGAACACATACAGGAACAAGTCTGCAAGAGGACTGAACCTAACAAAGATGAGAGACAGGTGGGCGAGGGTCACGTTAGAGTTTACATCCAGGTTCAAAATGATTCTGGGCAGGAACAGCAGGGTGTAAATAAGCAGCACCAGAACCAAAACTCCCACAATTCGTCGTTTTTCATCAGAGGGGACCGAGATGGAAGCAGACAGGGCTTTGAGGGTCCCAGTCAGGAAGAATATGAACAGTGGGAAGGGAAGGAGGAGGAGAATGGCAAAGATTATGTACCTGACCACATAAGCAGCAATGAAATAGTAAAGGACACCATATACAAGAGAAAGGACCCAGACCAGGACACAGACCACCACAGAGGTCTTGATGGTTCGTCTGCAGCGGTACCACAGTGGGTGGGCGATGACCAAATACCTGTAATACAAGATGGACACAAAATCTTTGAGGAGCTTCAGAGTTATAAACTAATATAATGTTCAGACACAGAAGGAGCTCCACACATACTGGATAGACAGATAGATACCTTTCCAGGGAGATGCAGACCATGAAGTAAACACTGGCAACCAGACCAGAGAGGTAAATAGAACTGATGATACGTATAGTCCTATTCACATTTGAAACCACAGGAACGATCATGTAGCAGAGCTGAATCAGGTCGGTAATGAGAAGGTTGATGACGTAGATGGGAGCAACATGATCACTTCTCACCTGCCGGAAAACATTGGTAAAAGTCAACAAGCAGTTGGAAACATGTTGTGAAGTCCACCTCCTCCCAAATCTGTCATCTTGCTCTGCCCAGCAGCTGCAGTCAGAGCCATTTCTGACTTTTTCATCAAACAGGAATCTCAGATATGACCCACTGGCCAATCACTGCAGGAACAAGACTAAGGACCAGATTTCCTGCAGCTTCTGCAGCAGTTTTTCAGCAACAGATATGAAGCGTTCTGGCTCAAACACATGAGCTGGATTTATCAAACAGATGCACCAGACTGGAGTTTGAGACTCATTTGTTTGAGTTTGCAAGGTGAGAATCTCTCTTTTTATTGTATATGCATTTTAGGGAGGATCACACAAATAAGAGACAGGTTAACAAAGGTTCATTATGTTTTCACTGGATTTACTGAGGTCACACAATTTTTCACCTGTCAGATTAAACATCAAACATGATAATAAGCTGCATTAAAAGATTCAAAAAATCCGGATTCCTAAATGAAAAAATTTAGGGAGCACACAAAGAAACTTAGAAGCACACTGAAAAATGTTCAAGTAACACAGAGTTTAACAAGCTGTTTATTATACACGTATTTATACTATGTGTGAGCTCTTTCTCATTGTCTTCTACTGTGGTATGAAACCATTAGAGGGGAAGTGAAGACCCTGGTGTCTGTACACTTGGCACTGGCCATAAAATTTTATCAAAGCTTTTTAAAACATTAAAACAGATGTTTTGAAAAACTGACACATTGAAAAAATCTTTTAAAACAAGAATGACTCAGAAACGCAGAAATTTGCTCTTCCTGCAATAATCTTCAGTAATTAGCTTATGAAAGAATTTCCTGAAATTTCAGTACTGTAATGCAATACAGTTACAGTAACACTGGTACCTGAGACACAATGACCACAGCCTGTAAGTGATGTACTAACCCTTTGAACCAATTCTGCTTTCCACTCAGCGTGCAGTTTTACAGTAAAACCACATTAAAAACATTACACACATTTCTGTATGCACATAAACAGAAACATGAAATGTACGCAAATGTTCAGCTATTTTCTATATATATATATATATATATCTGTCCAGTTGCTTCAAAAATGCAGGATATTTGCAATCATTTTGTTTTGAATGTGTTTTAACAGTTTTGGACAGTGTGTTAGCATTTGAAAAATGTGCTGCTGATATATAGTATTTTGCAGGTGGTGAAGTAGTAAAGAGAAGAGTTCATGGATTTTTGGGAGAAAGTCATTGAATGCATTTTGTGTGAAAGCAATGAAAAATTAAAGCTGCAAGCAGCGTTGAGCGGGCCCTCGCCCCCATGCGTGCCTCGGGTGCAGCGACAGCTGGGACTCTTGCATCGCACTCCAGCTGACACCAAGGCAAGAGCATTTGACAAGAACTTTAAGATGGATGTGGTCAACCTGTTATGAGGAGCATAAAAGCCTCACTATGGACATTTTGGTCCGCTGAGGTACTAAGTGGGGTGAAAATATGAAAGAGGCATAAGAAATAAATTTTAATACGTACTTTCCAGATGCCGTAAGTGGCGCTATCACTATGACTGGATATTGACATGTAAGTCTCTAAGAGGTTTACTTGTGAATTTTGGGACATATCAGACCATGTCTAGTCCATTTATATGCTACTTCCTTTACATGGCGTGACATCAATTTAACGGCACGCCATTGACGCACCGTTTGATCAATCAAAAAAAGCATTGCAATTTAACATCACAAGGCTCTAAAGATGGTGCTACCCACATTTGAAGTAGATAGGGTAAAAGCTCTAGGAGAGTGGAAACGGGGTAAAAGTTCGTAAATAATTCAAAATGGCCAACTTCCTTTTGGGTTTAGGATATGGCTCCAGAGACTTATTTTTAAGCCTAGAGATGATACATCGGCCCCCCACATTTCATATAGCTAGAGACAACATACTGCAGGGGCTGCTTTTTGGAAATTTTGTAGGCCCCAAATCATATCAGCCAATACAAAACAACGTTCTGACGAGCGTTTAAAGTCTTGTGAGGGATTGACTATCCCTGGCCATTTCATGGCTAAAAAGGCTTTAGGGGGCGCTATAGAGCCAACGTGACACCCTCAGTCTTAAAAATTACATCAAATCGAAACATTGCCAGTTTGACTCTGGCTGCGAAGTTTCGTGGCTCTTTGATCATCCTAAAGGCCTCCAATATCTGTTTAAAAATTTTAAAATGATGCAGGAAGCGCAAAATGGCTGACTTTCTGTTGAGCGAAATCTCATAAAAAAGCTGATATGTGGACTTTGTAATAAGAGCATTAATCACACAACATCTCATGAAGATCAAAGAAACTTTGTCCAAAACCTATTGTTTGTTTAGGGGTGCTATTGAGCCCCCTGGCCACGCCCCACCCCTATCAGTGCAGAACATTGGATTTTCCACCAGATCTGAGGTGTGTGCAAATTTTCGTTGGTGCCCTTGCACTTTCGAGCTTGGGCCCTAATTATTCAGTTTGGTCCACATACACCTATGTTTCACTGACTGTGTGTGAAATTTTGACAATGCAGGTTAGCAATTGAAAAAAACTGTAACAGTTGTTATAAACCTATCTGTCTCTCTCTGCATAAGTGGACTAAAGACAATGTTACCAAAATGTCAATTAACAAGGAAATTTTTAAAAAGAACAATTCCTGATATCAGGGAAAAAGCAGAAAACAACAAAGAACAAAATGTTAACATTTGCTCTGTGTGTCTTTGTGAGTGTATTACTGTTGTGTAGAAGGCTGGATGGAGCCACACGTGTAAACTACATGTGTTTAGGGTCCAATCAGCCTCATGTACATTTTTAATTATGGAGCTAATTATTCTTGTAAACCCCAAGAGGACCTAACCCGAAAACCCGATCAAGATCCTTTAAAGACAGACAGACTGTAGGACAGACACACGACACAGACAGGAAATAAATAACTCTGTCAGAATGTACATACCATAGAATAAAGAGAATAGATGGCCATGAGGATTGACGGGAGGCCAAGAGCAAAGATTATGTATATCACCACACTGATGATGAATGTATAGCTGTAACTCTGGTAGATGGAGATGATGCTGCTGTGATTCTGGTAGTTGGAGGTGAAATTGCTGTCATTCTCGTAGTTGAAGATCATGTCGCTGTTGTCCTGAGAGTTGGGGGTGTGGAAACCGTACATGTCAAAGATGGTGGAGGGTATGTTGTATCATTGTTGTATCAGTTGTTGGAACAGTTGTTCAGTTGTTGGGGGGGGCTGTGAGCTGCTGTTAAAGTAGTAATCTTCCATTCTTCAGAGTGAAACCTGTTTGAGAGATCAGGTTATTAAAGGGAGCAGGTTTTTAATATCTACCTAACATTGTTCAGTGACATCACTAAAGCTGTGAGGTGAAGTTCACACAAACACAGTGTACCTGTAGTTTACCACAATCATATCAAATCACAAACTGCTGTCTTTCACTTTCTATCATCATTCCTCAACATTTGTTACATTTAACTTTTATTTATTCAAATAAGAAAATAATTACAAGCAGGGCCAAAGCCAGGGTTTAGAAATGAGTGAGGACCAGTTTTTTTTTAATAGAATTTTTACAGTAATCTCCTCTGCCCACTCCATATCAGGTTCTCTGGGCGCTATGAAATAGGTTCACTTTTGTGAAATGACCAATCACTGCCTGGAGGGGGCGGGACATTTAAAAAATATCGACATTAGGTGTCATTTAGTTGTCTGAAAAACAGCTTGCAGCAACGAAATGTTAAATAACAAATGAAACGATGAGAAAACAAAAAATAAGACCCCCCCACCCCCAACTGATATATTTCAGCATCGAAGATTTATTCAAAATACTGTTAAAATATCTTCTCGTCTTGTTCTCATGACCTAACTGTGTCGTCACACCCATAATCTGAGCCCTATTTAGGCCTATTTATTCCTCAGTTAGTAGGCCATGTTGGAGACCCCCATGAAGCTCAGATTAAAACTCGAACCTTGCTAAAATTGTATAAAATAAGAAATACAGACACAAAAGTGAACAGGTAGTGCAAAGAGGGAAATCTTGGTTTACTTGTCTTCACAACCTGCATTAGGCTAAATGTGAAATGTCAACAACTGTCATCACAGGAGTATGCTGTTGGAATGACCCGTGCAGACTACATATTGGGCACTATTATTACTATATAACAACATGAAATATGGCAGGTTAGTGTTAAATTCAGTGGATGCTCAGGTTCATATTACAGCTAATAATTTGACGTCAGCAGCTGAGTTACGATTATAGCAGCTGAATGGTGACTAATAAAATCTAAATAATCATCATGTACACATAAATCATATCAGCCCCGTCTCCCTCTGTCCTCATGTCCTGTATGTCTCTACTGTCTCCTGCAATAAAGGCAGAAATGGCCCCCAAAACACAAACTAACCACAACAAGTTATTATGTTTAGAAGAGATTGAGAAACACTGATTTATGTTTTCATTTCACTGAATGTTTATTTAACTGAATCATTAACTGACTGTGACCTGTCTTGGATTACATAACTCTGTCCTCCTGGGACTTTTCATAAAGATCATCAGAAAATGCAAAACTATTCTGCATCTCAGCTGCCAGACAGTGACTGCCAACAGACACTAAAAGAGGAATTTGTAAAAATAAAACTAAACTAAAACTTAAGCATCTACATATCTGGGATCCATATCAGCTTATCAAGTCATTACTTTAAGCTTTTAGCAGTTTATCTTCCTAAAATGCAGTTTGCTAGTTTCCAAAGTGTCCCCTGCAGAAAGCCAGTATTTAAAGAAACAGTCTGACATTTAGGAAATCTGCTTGTTCTTGTTGGATCCAGCTAATAATAAGCTAAAGTTTAAAAAGGGGAAACATACAGCAGACTTTACTAACTTCTACTGAAACATGTTGGTCTGATCTGTTGTGACTGTCTGTCAGCTTCCTAGATGTTTACTGCACGCTCATTAGAATAAAACTACATCAGGACAATCAGAACTAGTATTCTGATTGTCCAGTCAGTATTTAGTATGTCAGTATGTCCATTGTCAGTATTGGGCTGAACAGAGCTTCATGCAGCTTTTGGGCTTTCTTCTGGTTTCTGCTGAAATATTTGATGCTTCTGGGTCCTGAACTCAGCCGGCACAGTGACATCTGGTGGTTTACAGAAAATATAGCAGCAGCCAAACACTAAAACACCTCACTGATTTTATTCTAATGAGCGTGCAGTAAACATCTAGGAAGCTGACAGGGACAGTCACAACAGATCAGACCAACATGTTTCAGTAGAAGTTAGTAAAGTCTGCTGTATGTTTCCCCTTTTTAAACTTTAGCTCATTATTAGCTGAGATTTTATCCATATTGCCAAGCACACAGCAGCTGCTGCAAAACAGCTGCTCTGAATCACATCCTAAACAGCAGCATGCCTACCACTAAAACAGCAGAAATTACACTTAGATTAAATAAAGAAACAAATAATATGGAGTTGTTTGTGTTTGTACAAAAACAACAAAAAAGAAAAACAAACACAGTTTTGGTTAAACATACATATGTAAACAACTAAATTAAACTGTGAGAAGCAAAAAGTGCTAAAGACGTGTTGAGATGCTCTCCCTGTGTTAAACATCCAAACAACAGTCCAAATAAAGATTTAGGAAGAAGACAGCGAGGCGGTTAGAATGAGCTCAGTTCATCTAAAATAATATCTGCTTTGCTTCTGGGATTAAAGGAGAATAATGACAGACATCAACTTCCAGCTCCAAACTAATAAAACACATTTTATTTCCATGTGTTGAAGCCATCACAGTGAACCAGAGCAAGTTGACCAAAACATTTCCCAGCAGCCACTTCTCCCACAGCAGAGTCCAAACAGTGCTTCCTGGTCTCTACAGTTAGGTGTCTTATTGGAAATGGTCTCAGTAGATGACAGGATCTGTCTCGTCTCTATCCTTTCTATTGGCCTCCATTTCTCCTCCTCTTTCCTCCCCTTTCTCTCTCTCCCTCTTTCTCTGCCTACATGAAGCTGACTGTGGAAATGTTGTCATCATTCATACTGATGGACTGCTGATATCATTGCTGAGCATCCCCGCAAAACTAAATGCAGGCTTATCAGGTAAAGTTATGTAGTCTATACTTTTAATTTAAGTTAAATAAGCTGAATTCAGGTATCGTGGGACATCAGGTAATTTAGGACAGCATAAGAAAACAGCATTTTACTTCTCCCCTGAAAAGTTTAAATCTGAGTTATTGGTGGTAGGACCTTGCTATGAATGCTCATAACTGAAGTCACAAAGTCACATGACTTAATTATGTATCATCATGGGGGTGTGTGGTCTGCATCAAACAGGAAGTTGATCCCAAAACACAACAGTTAATAGAAACGCCATAAGGTTCAGCTTGATTTTGATATAAGAGTAAAACATTTGATGACTAAGATACTGTAGATTTAAATGATATACAAAACATGAATAGTGTACCAAAATACAACTATATTATTTGGAAATTGTGTTTACAATTTTTAAATTACCAAACGTGTTGTGGTAATTTGGGACAGCATGTTTCAGGTAAAATGGGACTATAGAATTAAATTTATCACTAGTGTGGATTCATATAACCTGATTTGGGACCTCATATGTGTGGCAAACAAAACCACAGACATGTAACCTACAGGTAACTTTTAGGTGGATAGAGTGAGATACTAATGATGCTAATCCCCCACATCGTCTGTAGAAGGCCTTATCATCTGGTCAAATTAGCATATTCCAACAATCTTCTGACAATGGTAAACAATAAAGCAAATGTACTATGTTTAATGTGGTAGTGCTGCAACA